AAAAAAATAAAAATAAAGCACAAAGCAAATCAACATACATAAATTGATAAGCAGAGATATTTGCTCATTCAAAACTAAGGAAAGTACAACAAAACCAGCAATGGCAACCATTACTCCTGCTATCGAGCTGCATCTCGGGCTCCTCTGACCCAGTCCGTTGATACCAAATCTGGACACACTGTTCTTCGCTGCTTAGTGCCACTGGCCACCAGCTCGTCTTCTCCCAAGAGTTTCCTCTCTTCCTCATCTCCAGCTGTGCACTGGTCTCTAAGCTTTAGGCATCAGTTAGAGACCTAGTGCCTCGCCTTCTGCTCCAGCCTTCCCAAGCCTTCCCACTCACAAAGGCATCCCTATAGTTAGAGCTCCTGTGACACTTGAAAGAAAAACTGCACCATGCATGCGAACCTTTGATATCTCAGTCTTGCACTGCTGCTCGGGTAGGTCGCCTGAATGTGCCTCTCCCACGGGAATGAACATCTCTTTCATAGTCAGTCTCTTATCTTCGTTCAGTCACTTGTGTCATCAACCATAACATACCCTAGATCCTTACAACCTACTGGCTGGATTTCATTGCTTTTGAAGCTGTTATGGAATCTCATTTCTTGCACTCCTTTACAGCTTTTTGTATGTAGGCATATGGTAATCTTTCACCATAAGTTGCCACCTCTACATGCAGTATATGTATAATAAGTAGTGATACATTAAAATAATTCTTTCTCATGAACCGGAGCTCTTTAAATTTCAAGATTGGTATTTGACCTGAAATTGAACTAAACTAGTGATCACTGTGATAGCAATCTCTCATGGATTTATAGCACCATTTCATCCACCTAGAGGAAAACAAACGTGAAGTTATAGAAGAAAGCTCATAGTACAAGTATCTTTATAACTATCTGGGTAGACCAAAGAATTGGAAAAACTGGGGAGGGGCATTTTAATGCTTCTATTTTCTCTCAAAAAGAAGCATAATGCCAAAACTGTTTGCAGCAGTTCACAGTTTACTGGTTACCATTTTCATTTTTCCTCAGAATATCTGTGTTATGGTCTGTGTCTAGGTGTCCCCCCAAAGCCTCATGCAGTTGTGGGGCAGCTTCTAGAGTTTGTCATTAATTCATGAGCCAACGTGGGGATTATGGGCGTGAGTGCTACACCAGCCCTCGGGCAGGCATAGCCTGAATACAGTAGGGGGAGGGGAGAAAGGCTTGCTATCTGCCTGCAGCCACTGCTCCTCCCTTTGCTCTTTGCTGTTTTCCACCGCCCTGAACTGCCGCTCAACCTTGGAGCCAGCTGAGTAAGGACTGAAACCTCCACTACCTGTGAGCTAAATAAACTTTTCCTTCCTTAATTTTGGGTGTCGGGTATTTTGTCCCAGCAACAAGAGAAAAGTAACTGAGGCAACCTGTAGAATGGCAGAGGTGTAATTATTATTTCATCAGGTAAATGAAGATATAGTTCAATCCCAGTCTGCTACATTTAAGCTCATTTTTCTCTATAAAAGAAAACAGATAATCACATATATTAGGTACTGATTACCGTGCATATCAGATCGTGTTGTATATTTTGACTATATGCATTTTTTTTTTTTTTTTTGAACCAGGGATTGAACTCAGGCCCTTGTGCTTGCCAGGGAAGCGCTTATTCCACTGAGCCATCACCTTGGCCCCCCTATATGCAATTTTTTTAATGAGAGAAAACACCTCATTGCTGCCTGTTCACTTAGCAGCTGACTAACAGCACAGTCTAACCTCAAGGGCTGGGAGGTGTCTTATGCTGTAATTCTGGATCCCATAATAGTACTGCCACACAGTCAGGGCTGAAGAAGTACTGCATTAAAGTGGAGGCTGTATGAAAGGAGTTTTAAATCTCCAAGATGGAAGGCTAAGAAAGAGGGCCAGTGGGCCGCTTAGGCCAAGGAGGTTCAGAAGAAACTTGGAGTTGCTTCTAACACCTTCGTGTGACAGAGAACTAAGTCCTCCTCACCACCTCCTCCTGCCTCACCTCATGAAGCCTGACCCACATAGGAAACCCTTTAGAAGCATTCTTACTTGAAATCTACTTGTCACCTGAAATACTCCATTTGAGAGTTGTCACAGCCAAAAGAAAATGCTTATATGCGTCTTCAGCTTTTAGCCCTAAGGTCATCAAAATTTAGGTAACTAAAAGATTAAATCTCCGTAATTACCTTTTCTATAAGCTCACAAAAATATTTTTCAAATCTGCTCTACTAAAGAGCACAATTTGGTACTTCAGATCCAACATGTAAACAAATCAAACTATTACTCACTTCTCATCCTCTGAAGAGTGCAGTTACCATGGCAAACTCAAGTGGGAAATACATTCAGCAAATTAACATTGAGGGATGGAAGGGTTGGATGGCTTTTCGGGAAGCACAACCCATTACTGCTGGTAGGAGATTTGATGGGAGTTACCAGCAACGCTCTCCCTGCCTGCCTCTCCGGGGGCCAAGTCTACCAAACCTCAGTTACCAGGCACCACCACTTTAAGCATGGGGGCAAGGGTGAGGTTAAGAGAACATGTGCACAACTAGGTGCATGCATGCGCACACACACACACACACACGCACACACGCACATGCATACACTGTTTATGTGTCTAGATGATATCACTATTCCCAATGGCACATTGGCAAATCTTATTCATGCCAAACCTAACTGCAAATTTTTTCTCCTAATTAAGAAAGTTAGCATTATGCAATGAGTGACTTTTCTATAGATGAAAACCTAACACCCTTCGAAAATCATGTGTGTATGTAGAATTATACAAATAATATTTAAATTGTACAGGTTAATTAATAATAAATTCTTGGAACTCAGTTCATAACCTGTTACCAGGCTGCCTTGATGCCAAAAGGCTAAAACCAACTGACATCGAGCAGCGGGTCCTGCATTCTCATGGGAAGACAGGCTGCCTGGAGGTGTGAGCAGGCGGCTTGTGGTGCTTCTGGCCCTGGCTCTCTAGGGAAGGGCGGGCTTCCAGGAGCAGCACGGCCCCAGGCCAAGGTGCAGCCAGGGTCACCAATCGCTACTCTAAGGCTATGGAAGCACAATTACTGTAGGATGCCTCATGCTGTCCTTGACAGCCCCCAGCCCTCTGAGAACCTGCTGAAGGTCTGCAGGTCACGGGCTGTCAGAGCCATCTGCAAAGTTTCCCCAAAATCCTGTCTTACACTCTTAAATTTTAGAATCAGGAGATGGTAGGGTTGGACTTGTGAGTTTTGAAGGGATCTGTACATGC